CAGGTGAGACGGCTCTGCCAGAGGGTGCTTGGAGACTCTTCCCTCCAGAAGTCACTGTCTTGCATGTTGAAGGGAAAGCGTGGCTGCAGATTAGGGTACAAAACTGATGAAAAGAACAAAATGGTTCTGCCTGCAGTTGCCGGGCATTTAGAGGCAACGAGAATTACACGACTTGATTTACTTTACAAAAACTGATTAGTAAAACCCCCTGTGGATTTCTTAACTATACTGTGGAGGGATATAAGATTAGTGTAGCAATTCCCATCATCAAACGTATTTACTGTTAAAATATTGGATTAGTGATGTTGTTATCCACTGTTCCAAGATTATAAAGTGATTCTTTAAAATTGAGCAGAAAAATACTGCACTCTATCATTTGTAATTAGATTTCAGTCTGAGTGGTTTTGCCTTGCCACAAAAAGTAATTCTGCTTCCCAAAATAATAAAAAAGGACTGTGCTCTGCACAGAAAGAGAAAACAAAACTATAGGTGCAAAAGAGGAAACAAATTATTTTCCTCCTCTGCTTTTGCGAGACAAATGTCGCACTTGGCCTCTATTTTATGGCTCCCCCCTGCCACGCTCACGGCTACGGCGAGGCACCACCGTTACAGCCACGTTGGCACTAGGTGTTGCTTATTTGTAAGACACGTGAACACGCACTACTCAAGCTCGACAAATCTCAGTCCTTGGATATTCAGCCCTCCCAGAGAACTTTGAGGAGAGCTCTAAACCTTCAGGGTCATCGTTGTCTGGGTTTCCAGTGACAACACGGACTGTGAAGGAAGAAGAGCATGAGGAAAGGGGATAAATTAATGCGTTCATTAAAGTAATTATGCTACATTTGGGCCAGGAAAATGAATGCAACTGTACCCTGGCTTTTTAGCCATTACCTTAAGTGAGTAAGAGCACCTGCAGCTATTACAATTAATAAACAAATAAAAAGCTGCGGCACTAATAACACCACCTTCTCACATTTTATCCTGTTGCACACCTCTAGGAATCACTTGTATGAGATATTTCACATAGATATAGAATAGACAGTGATGTAAGAGTCACAAAAAAAAAAAAGAAGTTTTAAGTCAGAAATACTCTGCAACTAAAGAGTGGGAATTTTGCTTTATCTGCCATGCTATTTGACCTCGCTATTTGCCACTACTGCAGTTTTGAGCTATATAAACTTAATCACTGTTCTTTTTCCTTACTTTGGTAAATCCTTATTCTGTCTTTCTAGATTTATCCTCCTAGTAGTCTGGAAGAATAAAACAATTTGTTTCTGAATCAGAATCACCATGATCAATATTATTTCATACCATTACCACTCAAAATTCAGATTTAAAGTAGTGTCAGCAACTTCAAAAATTTAAACAATCAAAGATTAGCTTTACTTTAAATTACCCTGTTTCTAACTGACCATAAAAATAGAGGCTACAAATACGTAATCTTTACTGCAGTAGCTCTGAACACCCTTGACAGGGTTTATCAGCTAAATGTTTAATCAGGCAAAGCAGCAAAAAACATAACCACAGGAATACATGGTATTTAGCATTTAAATAAAGCTTGTAAACCAATGACAAGTCTGTTTGGGCAATTACTACCACACATGTTCCTTATCTGCAAAGGTCTTGTCCCGAATTTATCAGAACGAGTCTCTCACACTTTATTTTCCAGGCAGGAACATCAGTTTCCATTCACTGAGTTCACAGAAAAAGATACAGAAAACTGCAAGTTAAAAGGCAGGGCCGTGAAAAAGAATTCCCACGTTGGCAATGTCATATTGCTCTAGGAACTTATTAAATCACAGCCAAAAAAAAGCAAAAAACAAACCCCCAAAACCAAGAACAAAAAAAAAAAAAAATCCACCACAGCATAAGAAATGAGCCTGCCAAAGCACTGCAGTGCTTTATTTTTTTGTGTAATTGAACAGTTCGGTTTCAAAATTTTCAGCTACCTGCTGCTTCTAAGTTGAAACCTTGATCAAATAAGGCAAGTGAGAGCCGACAGAACCGGCAGCATAAAGCCTTCCCTCCCCACCCCAGCCCCAAAAGCACCATTTTTCATTTCCCCCTGACTATAACCTGTATGTGCAACCCCCCGACCGCTAACAGGTACCAGCTTCTCGCCTGGTGCTCTCAGGGGCCAGATGTGCTACTTTCTGCTTGAGCGACTCTTTGGCCCTGCACACCGAAGCCGTGCTCTCGGCTATTGCAGTCGCACTCTGTTGATAAAACGCATCCCACGGCAGCTCTTGGCACTGCGCGGCAGTAAGTAGCCCAAGAAAATGTAATGATTTTTTACTGTTATTACTAAGTAGACAGAAGTAGCGAGTCTCTCCCTTTGGGGGGACAAGGGGTGCCAACACTCAAAAAACTTCCCTGTAAATAACACCTTGTAAGTAGGAGGTGGTTTTACTCATGGTTCATTCCAGTGGCTTTTAAATCTATTCCTCCTCCTTTTAGAGTTGGGAACCATTTGCTTTATGAGCACCATTTGGATCATTTGCCTGTTGCTCATAAAATAGACAAAGCTTTTATCCATGCCATGAATTTTTACTCACTTTATACAAAATATCTAAGGGGGGATTTGCAGGGGCCAGAATTACATCCATGAAAGAATTAACAACTAATTTAATTTTCTGCTACAATAATGGTTCCAGCAGGTTTTGATTTTGTTGATTACATTTCTTCTCTCCACGAAATAAAAAATAGCATATTAGTGTTAGCTTCTTTGCATGTATTTTTTTAAAAGGCAGATTTTTATTTTCCCCAAAACCAAATAGGAATGACAAACATTTCACATGTTTGAATCCGCGTAGTTACTAAATAAAGCAGCGGCAAATGCAGCTTTCAGAAGTGATCAGATAACACGGTGATGGGCTGTACACGCAGGAAGAACACTGATTCTCATCAGCACTGGGACAGTCCAACAGAATATTTCTTTGACAACGCTGCTGGCAGCCGTCACACAAACCTCCTCTTGCAAAAGCTCACCTCTGACACCCACGTTTACGCACCAGGGCTCCCCTAAACGACGATCACGGCATCAAGCTGCTTCGATTCCTCCTCTCACGACTCAGAAGCCAAAATTCACTCTTCTGTGCCAACAAAGCAAAGCCCAGCTCTAACTCCAAGCTCTACCTGCCCGCTCTGCAACGCATGCTGTAGGCAAGGAAACTGGAGGAGCCTGTTACCCTCCCTTAATGGCTCATCAGCTGTTTACCAGTAACTGCTGGAACGAAACACTTTCCTCAACAGTTTTGTTCCTGCACGCAAAGAGTTACGGTCTATTAGTAACTATGGACCATAGCAAGCTCCTGTGGTCCTGCACATAAACATTATTGATTGCAGACACAGATCAATGCACGCTTAACTATTGTGATTAGCAGCTGCCTGGATCGGGGCGTTGGGAGGTTTGGCCATGCAGTAGCTGGAAACAGTCAGGGCACACGCTGCACTGGGGAGCCACTGGGAGGAAAGATCCTGCATTTTGGAGATTAACAGTTGAGGGATTTCCTTACAATGCAAGGCTTGCATGTTTACAGAGAACTATATTCTTTCTGTATGTAGAGGTGCACAAACATAAATGCCACAGATCCGACTGCAGTGAAGAATTTACCATTTAGGAGCTACTATATTTTAGTCAGCTGTATAGACTGTACCATGAAATCCTGCACAGTTAGCATTGCAATTAATAAAAAAAAAAAAAAAACACAAATGCGCTCAAGGATGAGCATACTTAGCAGTAACAGAGATATGGGTTTGGCTTTTTTTTTCATTTCTACTTCTAAATGCCTACGCTGTGTTTGCCACATGCCTCAAGAACAAGCCTAAATTCTAGGATTTCATATATATAGTTTGCGAAAAAACTGGAGTCTAAATAGGAGAATATTTGCTCAGGCAGAGTGCTTACAGCCTGAAAATATGAGGCAGAGCCTACTTAGACTACAGTCACACTGTAATTATGGATCAGGGGTTGCTACCTCTGCCTGGTTCTCCATCTTTGCCAGCAAACTCTCACCGGTGGCATCAGAGCTGTAGCTTCAGTGCTGCCTTTAGCAACAGCCAAGCCCTGCAAAGCAGAGGTAGGTGCTTCTGTCAGGAGGAGGCACCATACCATATGAATTGCAAATGCAGAAGCTGCTGAAGGAAGAATGCCCCCACATCCATAAATAGCAGCAGCTATCTTCCCCTGGGAATTTGCAGAAGCAGCCTGATTCTCCAGGTTGGTCTTCCCAGCGCCCTACTTCACCTCCACCCTGCTCCAGTGCCTTTTCTTGTACAGTCCTAATCCTTATCCTTGGAACAGCAACCTGCAGTTTCACCTACACTGTGAACTGGCTCTTTCCTTCCCTCCCATCACCTCCGAAGCCACATATTTCAGTGTGCAGTGCAATACACTGATACACAGGGAATAAATAGCAAAAATGGCTCTGAACTCCTGCAAGTAAGAAATATTTAACAACTGATTTGCTCAAGTAAGTACACAACTGTAAGGCCAAAACATCCAAAACCACTCTGTCTTAAGGAAGATTGAGTATTAATACCCCCATTTCGTTATCTCTTTTATTAGTGTGATTAAGGTTTGCTTCAGTTTTGGTTAAATCCTGATGATGCAAGAGGTTGCTCTTTCAGACATTCCTCTCAAAATAACAAACTTCCACAAGCTTCATTTCTGCACCAGGATATGCTCAAAGTTTCTTGAGACACCATTCAGAAAGTAGTTTTGTAAAGTTCTCCTAAGTTTTTTTAAGCACATAAGGAACACAAACTGAAGGCAAGATAATCTTGGCATTTTTGCCTTAGAAAAAGGCTGAGACTATAACTAAAAGGACGCTACCAATAGTCTGGGCAGCCAAACACCAAACCATTTTGACATCCGATGCCGAGAACCACACTGCTACCTGTTGCAGCATTTCTTTAGAGCCCTGGATTGATTCTATGAAGACGTATAGAAACCACTGTTACAGAAAAAAAACATTACCAGAAAAGTCGTTCCAGCCTACCTGGGGCTGAGTCCAAGGCTCCAAGCTTGTTTCTTTCAAAGGAGTTTGTGGCCTTCCCATTTCTTTTGTGTGCTGTTAGGAGAGAAAAGCATGCATCAGTTGTATGTTCAACCACTCTACCAGCATTCAGCATTAATTTCTCTTGAGGGAATAAAACAGTCAGGTACAAAAATTCACACACAATAATGGTAACGTATCACGATTATGTACATTTGGAGTAGACCGTAGGGCTGTTATTTTTGCAGCTAAGTAACTTATTTTCTATAAGAGTTGCTTGACGTGCAAGGTGTGGGGGTACACACCTTCATCTGTGTGTGCAGATTAAAACCTTGGACAAAAATAGGAAATTATTTGCCAACAGAGTAAATTTCAGCAGCAGAATTTCAGAAAGAACTCGACTCCGATTTCTTTACTGTTTCCTCCCCAAGCTGTGCTGTGTTCAATGGACACCCTGAAAGGAGGACACAGACTGCAGTGGAACTAAATTAAATAGGTGAATTAAAAGAAATATCAGGGAAAACTGTTTGTAAAGTTCACATTATTTGGGCAGGGGAGCCGTGTTTTCAGATGACAGCCCTTGCCTTTCCTTAATGCTCTCTGGAGCTGGAGCCAGAAGCCCTACCAGTTAATGGCTCCTTTTCTTTGACTTTTCACTACCTTCAAACATTTCAAGATCGACCACCCCAAATCAAAAGCTGGTACAATCAAATAGATTAAAGTAACGCTCGTGGAATTAGACTTGCTGACCCTTCACACTTCCTTTTTTTTAATATTACCAAAACGTCCTGCAAATACTTCTTAATATCTGTAATGGCTCTGCCTCAATAATAAATACTTAAGATTTTTTGAGCACTGGGACTGAGCATTGAATAGAATGTTGGCTCCTTTTAATTTTCTCCATATGAACATCTCAGGAAAGGAACTTTACACATTGCTGCAAAAATAAAGACAAGTCTCTTAATTTCTTTCTCCCTAAATTCTTTCTGTCATAAAATGGGAACAATGACATTCACAAAAAAGGTCCTCTGCTGAAATACACTATTTAAGTAGCGCCAGGATTTTCCGCTTCCTGAAATACAGCCTCTCAAATATACTACACCCTTTGGATAAGGCCTTTGACAATATGTAATATAAATAGCATCTTATCCAGGTCTCCCATCAGAGTGAGCTAAATGCCCATGGAGACTGCAAGGACTGACGAAGAGAGGGACAGATACGCCATTGGATTTTCTGTCATGTAAAGTAAAATATGGTCACTTAAAAAGAAACATTTTTTTAAATACAGAATTTGTGGGCAACTTCAGTTAGCACAGAGCATTCACAGAGCTCATTTCAAAAAACCACCTTATTAAATGGCAATTTTGTTTTGGCAGGTTGTATTGCCTGTAATAATAGATTACAGGCAATCATTTTTACCATTTTTGTTATGCTATATTTTGGGGTAGCAACAGAACATGATTTGTTCTTGAAATAGAACAATAAGTGCATTTCAAAAGAAAAAACAAATAACCACAGATTTAGTGAATGCTAAACAGATTTAAAATGAATGCATCTGGAAAGGGAAGGTTGTGTTTTTCGTATGTTCAAAAGCAAATGTATTCTACCTTATAATCTTTCTTTAAATGTAATAATCAAGCATCAAAGGGACCCAAACACATAAAGAAAATTATTGAAACATATCAATTGTGGTGCCAAGATACCATAATAATTCCATATGGGATAACCTGCCAGGAACTGACATTAAAAAAAACAAAAACAAAAACAACAAAAAAACCAACCCAAAAAACCCCACTAGTCGTTGAGAAATAGTTTTCCTTGGAATTTCACATCAGTTTTTAATACACATTTGTCCAGTCAGTTCTATTTCAGAGCAGAGAGAAAAAGGAAAACGCAAGTGCATGAGTTCAAGAAGAAAAAGGATGCAAAAGTCTATTTGGGTGAGACAATACTCAAAGTGTTTGAGTAACACTTGAAAACCATGCTCTAAATCTTAGATATGGCTTAATGAAGACTCGAACACCTCTTAATGATGAATTTCTTACAGACTAGCACCTTGTGTTCCTCATTTAGTGCCTACTGCTTCCACCTCCCAGAGAGACCCCTTTGCCTCTCCAAAGACAAGCACCAGAAAGGAATGACAGAGCACAGCAAGAAGGAAGATAGAGCAGGTTCTGGGGCAGCTACAAGTCAGTCAGAGCCTGCATCCTAGAGCACATGGAAGAAAAAAAAAACAAGCAGAAACTGCTTTCAGCCCCTACAGGCTTTCCACACACGACACATCTTTCTAGCTCTCATCCCGTTTTCACAGTGCCGTTTCAGACCTCAAGGGATTGAGCTCCAGAAGTTAAAGGCTCTCACACACGGCACAGATCTGGTCTGCCACGCAGAACCTGCAGGTGTATTTGCACTGCCACTTCTCAGCGTACAAAACCATCTTCTACATGAGCTGTGACTACACAGGAGACAGCTTCCAATGAACCAGCATTTGTACCCGTAACCAGCAGCACATCTGCTGCAGCTTCCAGCTCAGCAGGCTGCAAAACTCAAATTGTGCAAATACCTGTTCTGAGCTACCTGCTACGATAGCAGTTGTGCTTCTAGTACACAAGCTCGCCGAGATACACACGCGTTCTTAATGGATCTCATAAGCAGCACTTATTCACAAGTTCTCTTTTTAAAAGAAGAATGTGGTAGCGATAGACAATCCTCCTGGGAGCTTCTTTCTTTCAGCGCAGGTAAAGAAGCTCTTGCTAGAAGTGGGAAGTTTTTGGAAGCCTTTATCCCCTCATTTTGCCTGAAGCATCTTCCCACTGCCTTCTGCAGCTCCTACAATTCCTCTAAAGAAACAACAGAATATGCCCACAGCCTTTTGTTTATGTTCCCTCCACTTCCTCAATTTGACATTTAAGTTTCACACATAGAAGAAAATTGTACTCATAATGAGATAAAGATGGAATGATTTCAACCTGGGTATTACATTATGGTTTCAGCAGTGCCATTAAAGCTCCCTTAGCTCTTGTACATGCACCGATTACAATTTCTCTAGCAGGCAGGCTTGACTTCTGGAATAAATTAGGTTCTTTTCATGTTTGATGAACCACCTGTCACTTCTGTTAGAGCAAACCACCATTCCACAAGCACGGGGCGTATCCGGACAACTGATTCAGTTCCTACCATTCCTCCAACACCTTCTGAGATCTCCCCCCTCCGCCGGAGTTGAGGGAGGCTCATTTTGCTCTGCGCCCCTACCTGACACCCTGTATCACTGCCCTGCTACAGGTGCTGGGAAAGGCAAAAAAAGGACAGAAAACCATACGAAGTCTCGCTGGGCGTGAGAGTTTCCTTCATCTCGGTAGTCCCTTTTGCCCAGAGGGAAATGTAATACTGTCAACTGTTCCCCAAGGCCAGGCACCCCTGTCTATCCACAGAAAGTCCAGTTTTCGGGTATTTTCAGTGATAGAGTAAGAAAGAAGTTTTAGTTTGCTGAGTTATCATACAGCCAGTCACAGCAGTCTTCTACCTGAGCACCTAGAAATTACCCTGATCAATTATATTAGCAATCAATAAAGTCCAGCATAATGGCCAGGTAGTAGAAAGATTGTGCACAAAATATTTGGAATTTTCTGTCTAGTTGGAACAGCAAAAGAAAGCTTTAATATTTAATCAAAGTAGTTATTAAAGCTTTTTTTAGGGAAAACTGAAATTCATCATGAATATTTCCTGTTTATTAGGAACAGTAAGTTAACAAACATATAATTACTTATGACAGCTTGACAGGTAATATCCAGGTTTCCAAAATCTACCAGAGAAAGTAAGTTGTAAAATAGATTTTAAAGGTTATGAAAGTCATCGTTTTAAGTCAGACTTCATTTTTACCTTCAAGATGCCACAGCAGTGGTCCCCACTGAAATATGAGGGGGGAAATCTCCTGTGCACCTGAGATAATTCAAACTAATCTTATAACAACTGTACAGAAGGAGAACAACAGCACAGAAGGAGACCTCCCTTCTGACGGCATCCTCCCCCTACCTACTTGGTGTCTGGACAGTTTAGGCTGATCCATGTGACAAGACACTGCTAATTTGCTCAACCTATTTTCTCCATCAGGCTCAACCCCATTCTCTCTCTGCCCTAAGGAACAAGCCTAGCTCGCTCTGTCCAGGATCCTGCCCTGCCAGTCCCCTGTGTAGGTCAGGAAGAGGGATGCCTGTTCCCTGCCTCCCTGTCCAACAGCCACCCACCCAGCTCTCCCTTTCACCTCTCCCTCTCCACAGAGCATCACGTTAGAAGTGGCAACCAGAGGACGCTTCCATGGCCAGCTGCACCCCCCCGACAGCCCCCTGCTCCCCAGGCAGGCTCTGCTGCCACCCAACCCAGCTCGAGCTGCGCTCCCAGCCGCAGAGCTGGCCAGAACCCTTTGCTTCCTACAGCCAGGACTCCTGAGCTGCCAATCAGCCCCCCTAATCACAGAATCCCACAATGGCAGGGGTTGGAAGGGACCTCAGGAGATCATCTGGTCCGACCCTCCTGCTAACACAGCTTCTCCTAGAGGATGTCGCACAGGACATCATCCAGGCAGGCTTTGAATATCTCCAGAGAAGAAGACTCCACAACCCCCCTGGGCAGCTTGGTCCAGTGCTCTGTCACCGTCAAAGTAAAGAAGTTCTTCCTCATATTCAACTGGAACCTCTTCTGTTTCAGTTTGTGCCCATTGCCCCTTGTCCTGTCGCTGAACACCTCTGAGAAGAGTCTGGCTCCGTCCTCATGATATCCACCCTTAAGATGTTTGTACATGTTGATGAGACCCCCTCTCAGTCTTCTCTTCTCCGGGCTGAACAAGCCCAGCTCCCTCAGCCTTTCCTCCTCATCACCTTTGTAGGCCTCCTCCAGACTCTCTCTAGGAGTTCATCTTTCTTGAAGTGGAGAGCCCAGAACTGGATGCAGTATTCCAGATGTATTACATACGTACTCTAAAATTGTGGGAAAGTCCTTCCCTTTTTGCTGGAAAGTAGTTAAGTTATGTTCAGTTGGTTGGCCTCAGCTTTGTAAGCTGGGGTTTTAAAATAATCATA